ATTTTCTTTTTAAAGTAAATAAAAGAAGCAAACATTTCTCTGTAAATGAATTTAATTACTAATTATTTTGAATTAGAGTAGAAATAAGATATATTGAGAATTTAATTTTGAAAATCGATTGTTTAAATTTCAAGTTATAAATTGTATTTGAAAACATTAGTTAAATAAAAATTAGGAGAGACAGACATAAGTTACGGTCAACATTAGTCGTGTTGAATATTTGCTTTACGAATTTAACTATATTTTATTAAATTTTCGAAAAAATGGCTCACTATCATTTTTTTTTTTTGCTTTAATAAAACTTAAGTTAATTATTTTTTTACTTTTATATGTTAGTTACAATCCCCAAAAACGCAAAAACAATGAAGTTTATTTTTTAAAGATTGAATAAAAAATTATTTTCCATAAGATGGCCGAAAAATATTAATAAGTGAATACAAACATACATACGGACAGCTACACTTTATATATGTATAGATTATCTTAACTAGAAAATGATATGTTATAAGAAAAATTACTTTTTGATTAATTGAATTGATTCGTGAGATACCTGATTCAATAATGTTTCTAAGATGATTTATTCCGAATAAATTGAACCATTTCGACGTTCTGAAACTGTATAATGTACATATAATTTTCATTTTCTTGAATAAGTCTTTTGATTTCTGGGCCGATTAATGTCAATTTCACTGTTTAAACAAAAATGGATGTCTGCTCCAACAGGCGTATCAACAAAATCATACCTATTATAAAACCCAGGTTGTGTGTGTGTGTGTGTGTGTCTGTACGTTTATCATATTGGATCGGATTTCATACATTTTTCAACCGATTTCAACAAAACTTCACAGGACTACGTAAAATTACCTTGCGGTGGTTCTGACAGCGCCAAAAATTGGAAAAACACAATTATTTTTGCACGAAATCAATTTGAAAACACGATTAAGAGTCATCACAAGAATGAAAGGGGAACAACTCATATCGAGTTATACTTAAAACCCAGGTTGTTTGTGTGTGTGTTCGTTTATATATGGGATCGGATTTCCTACATTTTTCAACCGATTTTTTGGCAGGTAGTGTTTCTTATTGTCTTGGACACTTTTTTCTTTATTTTTACATTCAGAATGCTTTAAAAATTCCATTTACAACACAATTGTTTATAATAAAATTCTATTCAATCGGTAGACTCATAACGATTGAAAACAATGTTTTTGTTTGAGTTTGGGTTGACCAATGCGTAAAAAAAAAAACAAAAAAAAAATACTAATTAAGACATGCGTGTCCGTCAGCCTTAAACAATAATCTTTGTCAATTCTATTTTTCAGTCTTTATGATGGTCGATACTTGATCTATCTCTTACTGTTACATCGCCGGGCAACGCCGGGCTCTACTGCTAGTAACTGATATGTCCCTGAAAGGTATATATTTGAACGAAGTTGCTAAGTGGTTTTGGCTACTATAACCAAGTAGAATATGGTAGCAGTAATCGACTGGTACACGTCGTAGTCGCAGGTACGTGTAGATCAATGGCGTAGTCCAATGCGCATCATTATAGACTTAGACTCTGAGACTAAGGCTCTGACTCTCCTACACGTTCGTCGGTATTTATGACGGACACCAGCCAATCATATTCCAGTGAGGGGGAACACAGATGTATGCATATTCCATTATATCAATAACTATAGCGCTTTTTATATTGAAGGGAGGATTCTTTTCTTTCTATGTACCGTGTCCTTTCAGGACGTAGGCGATTATGGATCTCCACCTCTTCCTCTATCTCTTGCAGTTCTCAACAAGTTCCTTCTCTCTGCTACCTCCCCCAGTCCACGTTCTGTCATCCACTTGCTTAAGGCCGCTAAATATGTAATACTTTGTTTTCCGTTGTCTCTCATTTTCCTTTTATTCGACCCGTGAGTATCAGATTCTCCAGGCTCTCCTTCCTCATTATGTGTCCCAGGAACTTCCGCTGCCTCTTCCTGATATTAAGTATAAGCCTCCTCCTTGTTTGCATTTTCTCACATCGTTGCTCACATGCTAGGTCCATGATATCCTTAGCATCCTTCTGTAGAACCACATCTCCGTCGCCTCGAGTCTCTTCTACATCTTTGAGGAAATCGTCCGACATCAGTTGCCGTAAAGAAGGACAGATGCCACGTAACAGCTCAGCATTCTTTTCTTCATTACCAAAGAAAAATGCTACCATTAATTCCTCCTCTTTATCAAGATCATCATCAACTTCTTACGCATTTTCTATATTTTGACATTATTTTATATATTTCAGTCACTTAAAATCATTGTAACAGGTCACACCCTCAACTATGGGTTAAATAACAAGTTAGACTTGGCTCTCTAGCATTAGGTGGTAACCGATTTAAAGAGGATTAAAACTATTAATTCCGAGCTATGCAGATGGTAACGGGAAACTACTCCATCATCTTTCCGAAGAAATCATAGTAATTCATAGATAACAAAGAAAAAAAAAACAGTCATGTTCGCCTATGTTTCGAAATGATAATTTAGAAAATACTTAAAATCTACTTCATTTTTGCATCATATTGATAACATGGGGAATTATAAGAGATACAATTATAATATAGTAAATTAGATAATATAGATAATAGATAATATAGTCAAGTAATATATGTAATAATAATAATAAGTAATAGATGATACAAAAATACAAAATTTTCATCTTTGTCTAATCACATTGATAATATTGATAATAATAATAATATATAAAATAGATAATGTAGATAATAGATAAATTAGATGACATGATAATAAAGCCAATTAATATAGAAACAGATACTATAGTAAATGTAAAAAATCTTTGCCAACTCGCATTGATAATATAGAAATTATAATACTGAAAATTAGATAATGCAGATAATAGATAAAATTAGATAATATCGATAAAATAGAATATTAATATAGAAATTGATTATAAAACAGACGTCTTCATTGCCAAATGGCACTGACAATAAAAGTGTCTGAGAAAAAATATTACGATTTTAACACTCTACAAGAGTTTTAAAAAGGTCTTTATCTTGCGTTGTCTTGTTGTTAATTACGATTAATTTGCTATTTTTTTTCTCAATTGTTTTAGAAACATTTTGGGGATTTGATATGCAGTATTTCCTTCTACAGAAAAAAAAATACCGTCTTGGTCGGGTCAAGAACTTTTCCACCTTCGTAGTTGTTCTGTGGTTAACCCATAAAGGGGGAAAAAAGGTTGCGGAAAATGCTAAGAAATATTTGATTGTTCGTTAATAAGAATATCTCGCCAAAAGCATACGTGTCTTCCTCAGCAATTGGGACAGGAATGCTTTTCCTAGAGTTTGTTTACTTAAAATTGTGTTTGTCATGAATATTGAATAAATCCTTTAAATCAGGACATATGTTAGGGAATGAGAAGCTGTTAAACCACTTCAGAATGTCACTTTACTAGTTTTCAATTTGACCACAAACAATAAAAATATCGAAGAAGAGTATTTAAACGTATCATGGAGCTATGATGCACTAATTCTTTTTTTGTATGGGAATTCACTCATATTTTTAGTGTATAAATAAATATCTCAGTCCAATGGACATGTCGTAGGCGTAACCGTTAGTCACAACCCCGTAGAGTACTGAGAAGGTGTGCCTGGAAGAGATTAATTCCAGGTATCAAGCTAATTTAAAAAAAAAAATTATTTGCAATCGGATTAATGTCTTTTTATCTGCTATTATTATTAAAACATTTCGACCGTTAGACTCTCCGGCCTTTTTTCAGGCGTCTGTCGATCCGGCTAACTTTCAGCCAATTTCAGATTGAACACTTTAATTAATATACAAAGATATATTAGTCTTATTCTGCAATTCCGGTGTAGGGATATCATATTTTGTTTATTTTTAAGGCTGCTCAAAATTTGTTCAGCCCATGTACACTGGGACTGAGTAGACACTAACCGGCCCATTCACTGAACTTACCGTCTTTTATATATGCATAAACCATTCTTTTAATTTATGTAGCAATTAGAGTAAGTCTACTTGGAAGAGGCTACCTATTCTGTAATATTCAAATGGAAAATACTTATAAACTGTCCCCTATGCAATAGGGAATTCTTTTAAATCACATACCAGCTAAGCTGCCTCATTTCACATACTTTTAAAATGTGAATTTAAAAATAAACGTACAAAGAAAACAATACTAAACCCGTTATGCAACATCGGTCTTCATACATGACAGTGAATGCTGAACAGTATGCTCTCACAGATGAAGAAGCAATTTGAGGCTACAGAAATGTGGTTCTACAGAAGGATGCTGAGGATACCTTGAACTGAACAACGACGAAGTTTTAGAGAAAATGGAAGCAAAAAAGACACTTCTAATTAGAATCAGAAGGAGACAATTGAAATTTCTAGGTCACATCATGAGCAAAGAGTGATTGGAGAATTTAACACTCCCAGGACATGTTGAAAGCAAAAAGGACAGAGGAAAGCCGCACACAACCTACATCCATGGTTCTGTAAATAGTTGGTAGAATAGGAATTGGCAGAAATAGCCAAAAGACAAAATTTACTATGAGTTCCAAAGAACTAGAAATTATGAAGAACCATATCGCAAACATCCTGAAAGAACACGGTAGATAAAAAAATAAGACACAATCTAAGAACTGACCAGGTTTTGATACAGCTTATCTTCGGTGCTCGAATGAAAACTAGTGTCTTCAGTATGATTTTAGCATATATACAAGACGAAGAATTCGTATTCTACGGGTTATCAACCCTTTGCAGTTTATTTAAATCCAGAAAATGTTTTTAGATTGTAAGAATATTCTTTTGAGATAATAATGATTCACTGATACAAATTTTGCTAATTAACCCATAGCTGGGAGGAGAAGAGGTGGATTCAAACTTTTCCCCAAGGATATTTGCGCATAATTGAATATAACGAACCTTGGAAATCGGCTCTCCGTTTAAAATTCCGAGTCAGTATCTAATACACCACCGGCACGTCCAAGCTTACAGCACATGGTATTCCCAAACGGTTACCCATCTAGGTACTTACCAGAATCGACGTTGCTTAACTTTGGTGATCATACGGTAACTGATGCTTCAACGTAATGTGATCATGAAGAAGAAGAAGAAGAAGAAGAAGAAGAAGAAGAAGAAGAAGAAGAAGAAGAAAATAATAATAATAATGATGATGACAGAGTGGGCCAATATCTGCACTGGAAAATCTGCAACTTCTACGGGAAGGAAACTGAAAGAAACTGGTATGAACACCACCCAGACCCGGTTACGGAGATAGGATTTTATGGGACTACACAATACACACAGACAGAACAATCAAGGCCAACCGGCCAGATATTGTTATTAAAGACCACAAACAAAAACGGTGCCTCCTTATTGATATGGCAGTCCTTGCTGACTGCAATGTATCTTTAAAGATATTCAAAAAGTTGTCAAAGTACAAGGACCTTGAAATAGAAATCTCGAAAATGTGGCATATGGGAACATCAACAATCCCTGTTGTAGTTGGATCCCTAGGACTGGTTGGAAAAGATTGCAGTAGACTAATTGAAGGGATTCCTGGAAGTCCATGCCTCAAGGAGATACAAAAAATTGTTCTGACAAGTACAGCCCACACCTTACGAAGGGCTTTATCTATGTAATTTAATTTTTTTTTATTTTTTTTTTCAGTGGAAAGTGTCATGACGCCATTTCTAACCTTAGGTCCCTGGGCGGGACCCGGAAAGAAATGTGTAAACGCCAGAAATCAAAGAAAATAAAAATAATAATAATAATAATAACGAATGAAACCTTATGAAACAGTTGGTGGTACCAGGAAACAATTTGGACATTTTCTGAAATAGGGATTGGGAGAGATAGCAAAGAGACAAAGGTTACTAAGAGCTACAAAAGACAGGAAGTTGTGGAGAACCATGATCGCCCACGGGACACGGTACATCGAAGAGAATGATGAGCAGCCACTGTCATACACTTGTCTATCTTCGTTAAATCTAGGTCGAAACTATTAAAAAGATTCTACCGGAATAACCTTTCATGAATGATAAACAATGCGCCACTTCTTTCCGTTCCTGGAAATAAATATGAAAGGTTTTACTGTTGAAATTAATACATTTGTGGGCGTTTGTTCTTTTTTTATGAGCGGTTGTTTTTTTGTTTTTTTACCCAAGCTCAAATTCTCGATCCCAGGAAGATATATTGGGTCGGGACAAAAGTTTGTAGCATATTTAAGTGGAATTAAAAGTACACTATTTACATTATTCGGACTATTGTCCTCATCTTTGTCGCCATATTTATTTCAGCGTTTCGGCCGTTGTACGTTCCGGCCTTCTTCAGGTGGTTGGAATGTCGAACTGAACCCTTTATTTGGCTCACTGGGGTAGACTGTTCTAGTTCGACGTGACATGTTTAATGGATGTCAGTTATCAGTTATCTCCTGTTAATTCCCCTCTCCAAGTTCTCCACTGTCTTAACTGGGTATTGAACTCGCACTGGATCTAACTTACGCCTTTAGCCACTGTGCCAATTGTCCTTGCAGACATCTGTGTATGAATTTCTGGGTATTATTGTTGTGGATTCCGAGATGAAATTCGGTCTCCAATGAATGACAAACGCAAGAATTAAATATAAGAAATAAAATGTATTTACACAATAATACAAAGGGTAATACTGTTAGTAAATTCAGGAACGCGGTTAGTAGCAATAATATATAGATATATAGTCTCGAAGTAGGACTTCCTTAGAGTCGGGCGTGCTTGTAACTGTGACTTCTACAAGAGGTTACCTCACACTATTACTCTACCTCCAACTCCATCTCTGTCTACTCTGTACTATCACTCTCTCTATACTGACTGACACTGGGTATTTAACGGCAGCAGTCCAAGTAACACTTTGGTCGAGTCCACTTATATGAAAAAGGGGAGGACCCCATAACAATTATAAAGCTAATGTCATCAGCAATCATTTTTTTACCAGTGCTCATATTATAAATTTCAAGTGACATTAAGGCTATATGTTGGGTGAATGAATACCAAATGTTTCCTTGTATGGAAACGGCTAATTTCATCATTTCCATTGGAATTTACAGTGAAGGTTTTTACTATAAGAATCCACAGTAAATGGTTTTAATATAAGAATGCATTGTAAATGGTTTTAATATAAGAATGCTTTGTGAATGGTTTTAATATAAGAATGCATTATAAATGGTTTTAGTATCGAAGCTTTCAAATAGGTATCATCCATCCTTGACACCAAACCCGTTTAGAAATATCTAAACTGTATAGAAGCGCTTTCTAAGATCAATGGTTTAAAAAGTCTTTGAGTGATTGAAGCCTGAGGGTCATGGTGAAGACCATTCTTTGAATTTTGTGGAATGGCGCTACAGAATCACAAACTGTTGCAGCATAACTACGGACGATAATGAGTTATGTCCCCATTCACATAAATACAGTAGTAAATACTGTATGTTGGTCTGTAGTAGGAAATTTGTCTCCAGCTGTGCTGGTCAAGCTCTCTGCATCCAGGCAGAGAGGATCCTGAGATGAGGCTATGTCGAAGGGCAGAGTCTCGTCTCGGGAAACAGCTACCCGACCCCGTTTTATACAGGATCTACGGAGAATTTTTGGCCGAGCCTACAGGCTCGGATACCCCACATTAAATCCGGCCTTGTGCCACATCTGACCGCGTGGGCGCTTGGTAGATATCCTGCAGTTGGAGATTCATCTCCAACTGTGCTGGTCAAACTCTTTGCCCCCCGGGCAGAGAGGATCCCCAGACGAGGCTATGTCGAAGGGCAGAATCTCGTCTCGGGAAACAGCTACCCGGCCTCGTTTTATATGGGGTCTACGGGGAATTTTTGCCCCAGCCTATGGGCTCAGATACTCCACATTAAATTCGTCCTTGTGCCACATCTGACCGTATGGGGCGGTTGGTAGATATCCTGCATTAGGAGATTCATTGTGGAATTCACTTGACTCACTTCTAGCAGCTGATTACTACTTCTACACGCCGCTGGCAAATCTTATATGTGTTGTTCTTGTCCTAAGTATTATCATTCATTACCAACCTTCGTTTGATTATTCTCTTCAGGTAACACAAAGAACTGTACCAAATAACAGAAACCACATCATTTGGGGACTTCCAACAGTAGCAACCATTAAAATGGATATCACGTAACTCAGAGAGAAAATAATGATATAATGAAGATGTTGACATTCCACACTACTTCAAACAAAAGGTTAGAAAGGAAACCACCATCAATACTAGAAAGTTTGTTTACTTTAATATTCGGTTCAAACTCAATGTCAGGCCCCCTTTAGTAATATTTTTTAAATATGGCTACCAATTTCTCTCTTTTCTTTTTTGCTTTTCTTTCCCTCCCAGTTACAAAGTGATAGATGATCCAGCATCCAAGTGAGATATCAGAGTTCTAAATCAGTAACAGAAGCCGGAATTTAAAATATATAAAACAAATTTAGACCAAATTTAAATACTAAGCATTTATCAAAGGAACTCAGTGAGATGTTTTAAACACGACCAAAAAAACAAAAAAAGACGATATTGTTGTCTTGGTTGTGAATTTCAGTCGAATCTTTGGCATTTATCCCACCCGAATGTTGTTTATCTACCATCCATCGTCATCTGTATTACAGGTATATGATTGCATTTATATTTCCATGCTTAATATGTTTCTTACACCAAGGACACACACCAAGCGTTTAAAGAGATGAAAAATTACTCAAAAGACGAAGTTTAAAACAATTAAGAAAAAATTATAAAAATAAAAACGATAAGAAAAAACGCGACTCAATCGTTTCAGCTGTTAAAACAATTTGGTGTATTGTTAGTTTATCTGGAAAAGAAAAGGCGTGTGATAAACATTCTGCAACATGAAGTCTCTTTTTAAACCTCAATGAATAATTATATATATATATTGTGATAGAATTACTTACATTTTTTTTAATCAATTCACCCCAAGCAAAGCGATAACATCACTAAGACGTAAGAGGATATTAGCGGTAAAAGAGGAGGAAAAGACTTTAGAAGAAACCAGAAAACCAATAATAACATAAATTTCAGAGTTGAGATTTTAGAAGTATATAGTTGCTGTAGAATTTAGAAGGAACCCGAAACCCAGTCCTAAACAAGATAAACAAGGGAAAAATCTCTATTTCTGTTGAAAAGACAGTGATGTGAACCAGAGGATAGGTGAACATATTTACTTCTATTGAGAAAGCAAAAAGTAATTCAATAGTAAATAAAATTTCAGAGTTTAGGTGGAGACGTTAGAAGAGTGGAATTGATGTAGAATTTAGAAAGAGCCGATAAACTGAAACTAGGATTAAATCTCTACTACTGTCCAAAAGACCGGGGAGGTGTGTGAACCGGGCGATAGATGAGCCTACCTACTCCTATTATGGAAAAAATAAATAGTAAAACTTATTATATGCAAATAAATTTTATTTATGTATTTGTTTAGTCACTACGAGCACCAAAAAATTTTGTTTGAAACGTGATAGTAACAACAAAGATGAAGCTATTAGTCCCAATGTAAATAATGGATTAATACTGCTTGAAATTTTTTTTATTTTTTTAACATATATTGAGCACAAATTCTTTCTCTAAAAATCTGAACAGTAGACACGTATTTGCTAAGCTGCTTTAAACTAGCGCATAGAAAAAATAGTAAGACATTTGGTGAGGAACGCATTGATCACTTTTGGTCACTTTGCTGCTTTATACGAAAAGTTAGCATTTGTGGCTCCAGATCCTTGAATAGAGTTTTTTCAGTGATTCTTATGACAAATAGTATCAAGATAGCTAACCGTCTTATCTGAAAGCCTGAAAAAAAGAAACTCAATTAGTTTAGTGGAAGATTCAAAAAAAAAAATTGCGCCTGAAGATGGAACAGAGCTTACTTTAACTCAATTTAATTCAAATAATTATATTGAAGTTTTCGGCTCTTGTTTTGAAACATGAGACCTCTTATGTCGCGAGTTGGAATCATATTTTTAAATAAATAATTATATTTATGCTCTACTTTTGTATCGAGCACTATTTTTAAAAAATAATAACTAAAATACTAAGGAACT